TCTTTATACAAGGTAAACGTCCAAAGAGGTTGAAATGTATGCGAACCGGACCAAACTAAGCGCCAAATGACAAAGTACTTCAGGGTTTTCCTGTTCCCTCGGACTGTGGACAGCTCAGTTTATCACGTTTCCCCTTTAGTAAAGATGCTCTAAWGTTTCTCTGCAGATATTTACAAGAACATGGCAAAGAAATGATCCTTTTATTTAAATTGGGGGAAAAATTATGATCCTTTTGCTGTGCATTTACTGTTAATYTAGGTAATATTGATAGACTAGAAATTCACTAAACAGACTTAAATAATAAAAGTACAATTTCTGATTTAAATTGTTTCAWATTGCTTTTTTGCTTTTGTGCCAAAACACTTGATAATATTCAAACTAAACTAAATTAAACCTCAACGTTTAAAAGCTGATTTGCACACTGTCACTGAACTTGCTGTTAAAAAGGCYAGTCTTTGTGGTCAGCATCATAAATGTTCATCAGAGGCTCAGTAGGTGGGAGGAAATGAGCTCGCAAGCATGCAAGCAGGAATTTCAGAAGGTCAAATGTGCTACTTGGTCTGCCTGGCTCCCAAARGTAGACATTTTATTGCACGTTCGTTTTAACCTTTGCATACAATGCAAAGGATTATYAAGCACTTGAAGGCAAACCGACCGTGAGGCAAAGCCCATGTGTGCTTGTTGGTTTTGGGGGGGGTTGTGCCGGCTTTCCAAAGGAAATCCTGTCCACTTTATAACATCTAGAGAAAAGCAAAGCTCTCTCCTGCAGCAACCAACCAAAACTCCAGCTCAGAAAAACWATACCAGTGAATGACAAGTCTGCAGTTGTTGAAAAGCAGAGCTTGTGATTTTACATCTACTGGTACAAAAGACAGTGTTTCCATCATCTACTCAGAAATACTGTCAATTTTAGCAAAACTAAAAAGATGTTTTTGGCCTAGAAATGTGCCTTTATGCTGTGCCAGCATAGCTCTCCCTCAGAAGAACACTTATGCAACGACTTTAAAAAGGAAAAAWATAAATAAATAAACAAAATGTAAGATCATGGCTCATGACAAAACCGGCACCTGAAAATTAAAGTCTAACCAGCAGCAAATTCCTCCTGGAACTCAGGGACTGGATGAGGGACCATTAGCGACACACACACACACGCACGCACGCACACACACACACACACACACACACACACACACACACACACAC